TCTTTCGCACGCTACATCCGCTATTGTTCCTCAGTTTTCGCGATTAAAGTTTAAATTGCTCGCGAACGGAGCCGCGATGGATGAGCTTGTGATGGAAATAGACCGTCTGTGTGATTACGTATACACGCGAAAGATTCAAGTCAAATATTTGATGGACATCGTAACTTTCGCCGCGAGGCGTTGTACAAAACGAAGATCGTCATGTCTCCCTTTCTCTCCCCCATCATTGTTGCGTGTTGCAAATTACTGTTTAACAAAATCGGAACTCCATTATGAAAATGTGTTGCGTCACCGTGGAATAATAATAACTCTACTCGAAAATTTCTCCGAAAAAAATTGGGAATCGAGTTTTCATGCCTCTGCGATTTCGAACAAGAGTTTCATATCAAAGAATGCTATATAATATATATTATTTGTTATTAACAAGTTAATTAAGTGTTTTGATCGTGAAACATTTGGCTTTTTATTTTCTTGTTATTTTCGATGTGCTTGTCAATTTATTTTTTAAATTGTTATCGTCGAAAACAACAAAAATGAAAAAAGACAAATACTTCGCGATCAATATATTTAATTACTTTTATACATAGAGGGTGTCCTGTAAAGAACAGATCAACTCTTAAGGGTAGATTCCTCGGCGAAAATGTCGAGGGAGGTAATTATTTTTTGCCTGACTTTTGCCATCATATATCTTTGTAACTGAGCCTTAAATTAAAATTCTATTAAAATAAACTCTACCTGAAATTAATCGAATAAGTGGTTTGTTAATATTTAATTTTCATAAAAGGCTTAGAGAGTTTGCAAAAAGTCCTTTATTTTCAATCGCTTACAACTCGAAAATTATTGGTGCCTCGACATTTTTCCTCCGGAAAAATCGTCTCCAAATGATCTCAGGAATCTACTCTTACAAGCGTTGATCCGATCTTTATACGAGACCCCTGCGTATAAGCTACTTATTTTGTCGATACAATTCCGCGATTTAATAGAGCCTTATATCTTCAATTTCTTTTATTAAAAACGCAATATTACATTTCCCTTGCAAGTCCATTCTCCTTTATTTCCACAAATCGCAATATGAATCGATACACATGTCGGGATTTAATTTACCTTGTCCGTAATTCCGATGTCGTTGAACAACAGGCGCGCGTCGCACAATACGAGGGAAGAATAATTCGAACGATTCGGGACGAATCGATAGCTTTTCTAGAAACTTTAACCGAGAATCACCACCTCCCTCCCGGGATCGATTCGTTCTCGTTAGCGCGCCAGTCAAGCAACGACGTCGATTATAATGGGGTATCGGTTTAAAGTTACCGGACGTCACTTAGGCACGTCGAACTTTCATTAAACTTACGCGACGACGGGGAAACGCGGCGTACAATTACGTAAAGCTGCTTGAAAAAAGAAAATGTGTAATCCGGTACTCTTCTTTTCTCGACTTCCGGTATTCCTAATAGAAATTACAAGTCGCTGCAGACATCAATCCCGGCGCACGCTGTAATTTTCATTCAGACGTATTGTCAGTCAAATAATATCGGAAATTATTTACGAAATATTATGCAGCTTGTCTTTCCCATATAGTTACTTAAGGGGGGACTTGTACATTTACGAAGAGAGAATTTTCTCGTAGAATTTACTCTGAAAGTCATGGTAATCGTGGGCATAATATGGCATTGGAAGAATTTTATAAGAGTTTCCCTGATTAAATATTCATCGCGATAAAAAATTAATATATAGGTACATAGTAAATTTTATGATGTAGATATGATAAAATCATGCATGATTTTCAGAGTAAATTCTAAGAGAAAATTCTCTTCGTGTAGAGCACTAAAAAATAGCTATATTCATGATTTTTTTTTTATAAAGTATTAGGATTATCAAAATGGGATTTTACCAATCTGTTACATAGTGATGTAAGATAAAATTTTTATTGAACAATATGAAAAAATGTGGCAGATATTATTGCTGCTGACGTCAAATGCTATTTTACGATATAATACTTTATAAAAAAAATAGGAACGATATATTAAATTCGACCCAAACTAATCAAGAAATTTTATTTTATTTCCACAAATGTTTCGACCATCTGTTTTTGGTCCTTTTCAATTGAAAAACTAGAACGGTGCAATTAATTAAAATTAATAAACATCAAATTATTTAACATGAAAATTTAACATCGAAAATATTTATTAATTTTAATTAATTGTACCGTTCTAGTTTTTCACTTGAAAAGGACCAAAAACAGATGGTCGAAACGTTGTGGAAATAAAATAAAAATTTCTTGGCTAGTTTGGGTCGAATTTAATATATCGTTCCTATTTTAAATACCACTAGCGACGTTTTAAGTATTCAATTTGATTTTATAAAAAAAACTTGATTGATTCTTAAACTATACTGATAAATCTAGTTCTTTGTCCTAGCCAATTTTTCAAATTCGCAATATTTGTAATATATTTTTTTAGTTGTTAAAACTAAAGCGTTTAAAAACGAGAAACAGACATATATTAATTAACCAAACTGTCAATTATTTGTATTATTTGTGTTCCATTTTGACATTTGGCGTTTCAGAATCCTCCTTTTCCAAAGTTAAAATTTCTTTCATACCATCTAGAGTGATCTTTAATGCAAGAGGTTGCTCGTATCGGTCCATTAGCATATGATCGAACGACGGGATACGGCGTTTTTCGAAATGTCGTTCAAATCGGAGAGCAACAATATTTTTCGACTGCCAGACGCGTCGTAAACATCAATCTCGTTGAAGACATCTCTCTCTTTCTCTCTATTTCTATTTAGCTCTTCCTTCTCTCTCTCTTTGCGCTTCATGGCGCTACACGGATATCAATTTTCCGAAGACAGCTCGACATGTTAGACAAATACCAAGCTTAAGGTACCATGCGCGAAAACAATATCGACAGCGCACATCCGGAAGAACCGAACAAGATTCATGGGTCACCGGAAAAGCGGTCGGGAAAAGAAAGCGCGAGAGAAAAGAGCCGCGTCTATTTTACGTCTAGATAGAGAACATCCCGAATAAGACGCGATATCTTTGATGCGAGCGGCGAATTTCGAAAACTGTCCGGCGAATCCTCTCGTTTCGCTCTCGTCCTTCGATCACGCGGACGGTCTGAAATCTCGGAAAAAGGATCGGAATCTTGATCCTTCACGGTCTGTCCACAGATTGGATCAGCGAGGATTGCTGACGATGCGCGATGCGCGAAAAGTTAGTTTCCGAAAGTTAGTCCCGATCCTAATTAAAAGAAAACTCGGAATATCTTAAGATTAATGATGCAAAAATGCAATTGTTAACTTTGTGTTTGATGAAGATATCGCGTAATCTCATGCGAAACTGCTGTGAAGAGCCTGCATAAAAGATCAAAGATTAATTTATCACAGGCTCTCTGTGTGCAGACTGGATTAGTAATTTTCTCGAGATCTTTTAAAGATCATCCAATATTTGTAAAAGGCAAATTTTTAAATAAATTGCAATTTTTTTTTAATTTTATATTTATCTGAAAGAAATCTATATCCTATATAAAAAATTAATTTTACGTAAAAAAATACTGTGGAAATCTTATGCAAAAGAGATCAAAAAGATTAATCCGTCACAGGCTGCCTGTGTATAAAGTAGATTAATATTTTTCTCGAGATCTTTTTAGGATCATCAAAAGATGCGAAAATAAAGGACTCCGCACAATCCTTATGGAAATTTGCTTTTGGTGAAATTGGCTGGTTTTTTCACATGTTGCAGCTTATAATCTTCTAAACAAAAAAGATATAATAGCTTCAAAACTAATAGCGTTTTCGAGTTATTTATTCTTCAGAGAAACCTGCTTCACTCGAAACAACTCGCAGAGCTTTTCATGTTTGACTGACTGTAAATCTATAACTATTTATTATTTAGCTTTGAGTCTTATTACATTTTTTATTCAGTAAATCATAAGATACAACATGTGAGAAAATCAGTTGATTTTATCGAGATTTATTTTATCGAATTTTATTTAAGATTTCATGTAGGTTCGAAAACCCTGTCCTAATTCTGTAAAATTCATCAGCTGATTTTCTCTCGTATATTGTAGTTTATTTATAATCTGCTAAATAAAAATGTAATAGGTTTTAAACTAAATAATAGAGAATTATTGATTTACAGCTAGTCAAACACGAAAAGTTTGTGCTTTGCAAGTTGTTTGACTGACTGTAACTTAGTAACTGTCCATTATTTAGCTTTGAAGCTATTATATTTTTTTTTCAGCAGGTCACAAACTACAATATATGAAAAACCTAATCAATTCTATCCAGTTTCCATAAGGATTACGCGGGGTCTTTTGAATTTTACATTTAAATGAATCTATTTAAGAAAGATTTATTGATGACGTTTTGCAGATGCAATGAAGTAGTAATCCACGGAGCATCTGATGAGAGGTGATCCTTTTAGGATCATCGGAGAACTTGCGAAACCAAATTTGAATTTTATAATTAAATAAATCTTTTTAGCAAGATTAAGGACCAATTTTACCAACGTCGATTAACTTTAATCTCCAGTTAAACTATATCTTTTTTTTTTCTTTAAGAGAATGTATCTGAGAAAAGAAACAGATATAGTCAGAGATTTAAATTCTTTCTTAAAGAAATTTATTCAAATATAAAATTCAAATTTGTTTTTGCAAGGTGAAATTGGTCCTGAGAAAGATTTGATGTTTTGCCGATACAATGAGAGTAATCCACGAAGTATATCCGATGAGAGGTGATCATCGGAGAACTTGCGAAACCAAATTTAAATTTTATAATTAAATACATCTTTTCAACAAGATTAAGGACCAATTTCACCAACGTCGATTAACTTTAATCTCCAGTTAAATTATATCTTTACTTTTTTTAAGTATCTGAAAAGAGACAAAGATATAGTTGAACCAGAGGTTTAAGTTCTTCCTTAGAAAAATTGATTGAGATATAAAATGAAATTTGTTTCTGCAAAATGGTCCTAAGAAAGATTTGACGTTTTACAGATACAATGAGGTAGTAATCCACGGAATATCTGATGAGAGGCGATTTTTAACACGGCGGGCGACATGTTGTTCCTGTCGAGCCGCGGCGGCCGGAAAGGGCCCATAGCCTGCCTGGTGGGTCTCCTCCTTGTTTTCGCCCTCTATCAGCTGGGCATTATTTGCGGCTCCACCAGGTACACGCCCGCGGCCCTGATGGTCGGCAAGGAGGTAAGATTTCAGCTAAATTATTAGGTTCCATATATATGACATGTCCGATTTTGCAATGCGAATTCTTCAAAGCTTTCTTTGTAAATCTTTATATTTGTATACATGCGCGTTCATATATTATTTTAAAGCTCAAAATTTACCTTTTTTTTTGTCTGATTTTATTTCTTCGAATTATGTATTCTTTTCAATGAATAAACGTGATTTTTCGCTTTTTTTGTACGAATAGAAAAGTGGCCACAAAAATATTAATGTTGCATTCGGCGAGGATATAAAAGAATTTCAATTTGGAGACAAAAGACTCGAAAATAAAAATCGTGGACATGAGATTAAAAAAATTAATTAGTGACGAGGCATTAAAGGTTGAAGCAAATCCACGTAAAAATGTAGAAAAATAACTTTAATTAAGAAAGTAACGTTTGAAAAATATGTTTATTTTAATTTTTTTATACAAATCGGACATTTTATGTAGAAAACAACCTGATATAATTCAACTAAATTATATCTACCGTACACAGACATAAAAATCCCGCGTCTCAATCTTAATAATTCGACGAAATAAAAAGAAAGGTACATTTTTTTCCTATTAAATAAGATTAAATTTTAATAAGTAGAATAATTTTAATAAAAATTTACGAAAAAATGTGAAATACATGTATATATAATTAAAAATATGTAATTAAATATACGCTGCATGCTTTCCGAAATGATCCTCTCTTTCTCTGTTAAAATGAGAAATTTAATTATCCACTTTGCAAAAGAGAGAGAGAACTCTATTCTCGCTTCCTCTCGGCGCGATAATAACAATAATAATTAATCGGAATGATAATAACGATAATATAATATGCGCGTGATACATTATCACGGCTTGAGTCTCATGGCGGTGCCTGTGTATTATTAATCGGCAATTAATGGCTGTCAAAATATTAATTGCGCCGAGCTTGTTAAGAGCTTTGTTTCGTGCAAATATCGAATTTTAATCCATCGAACGAGCTTACTGATTATGAACGATACGTGGCCCGACAATGAAGTTCAGTAGACAAAACTTATTCACATTTGAATATACGTTTTGTCAAAATAAACGTTATCTGGTTTCAAAAAATAACATCCTTCTGCACGCCTGTACATTTATTCTTGCGATCGAAAAATATTATTCGCGAGAGAAAACGTCGAATAAAATTGTTTTCAACTCAATAAACATTTTCATAATTTTTCCAAGAATTTTTTAATATGAAACACGCGATATTGATTCTATATTCGTCCAAAAAATATCTCGAAAATTCTCGATCTGGTGCGTCTCGACGTGTCACCTTAAATGAAAGATTACTAAGCACACGCGAGTTACATTACGTAAAATGAAACTTACGTGAAAATGTGTTAGCGTAGAGATATGTGGAGCATAAAGATGAAAGATTAATCACATACCTCGCCGCGGGTTTCGGTATATATAATTGGGAAGAGGCGGAAGTACGACTACGCGAATTTAACTGTCGGACGACGTATTTAATAACGGACGGACAGACGTGGCAGCTGCTAAAACTTCATCTTGGCGTTAATCAACGCCAAACTGCCGGACGTGGACGAAGGAATATCCGGCGTTCTTGAAGAATAGTTCGATCAAGTTGCCTCAGCTCGACTTGTAAGTCGATACACTGACTAGTCTTAACTTTTGAGCCAACTACTCCGCCTCTTCTCGATCCACTTCCGTCGTAGACTCGCGGAGAGATGCTTTTATTAATTTTCTTGTAGACTTACTTTAATTGCGTTAAGATAGTTACGGCAAAATACCGGAACGAACGACGATTTTATATACTACTTAGTTATGAACGTAGCACGGCAAAAGGGAAAATGTTATATCTTTATTTATATATCTTGTATCATTTTATCTTTTATATTTATTTTTACTCGTATTCCACTTTTCTGTGATAATCTAAATAAATAAATGAATAAATAAATAAATGAATAAATAAATAAATAAAATAAGTATGTATATAATTTATAACATAATAATATAAATGAATAAATATGTATATATTGAAATGGAATAAGAGTCGCAATAAATGTAAATATTTTGTAGGAAATGTGTTTGGATAAAAAACGTGTAATATATCTTTTTTTGGTTTTAATTACGAACGCGATGAAAGATTTTCCATGAATTATCTATACGTGAATATGAAATGAAACAGAACAAAGCATTTTTATAACCTTTCGTTCATTTTTTCAAGCCAAATTTACATAAACAGAATTTTAATGATACCTATATAAATTGCAAAAGTGTTTGCCGATACTGTGAATTGCTCGCAATTAACAATTTAACGTAATTGTCGATGCAGCATGAATTTTCGATAAACTTATTTTTCAAACTTGTTTGTTCTTTCTCAAATAAATACGGATGTATGCTGTATATTTTTAATATGTATTTTACTAATTGTTTTTGTACGCTACATATTTTAATATTATACTTTTCTCGAACAGAAATACGTGATCGGGCCATTTGATCGCAAGACGTACACGTACGATCGTTACATGCCGCTCATTTTCATCGGTGGTGTTCCACGATCGGGTACGACCTTGATGCGTGCCATGTTGGATGCGCACCCTGACGTGAGGTGAGTGTCGGCAATTATTATATTTGAACATATATTATTCCGCAAATATTTATTTTAACAATAATAAGAATATTTTTAAGTCAGCTCCTTAATTTTTAAAACCACAATCTACACTTCATTCCTCTCGACCAATATTAGTATTTATTTTAAGACCATATCTTAAAAAAATGTGTAAAATAATGTTGCTGACCTTATTCAAGATGCGGACAAGAGACCAGAGTCATACCGCGGATTCTCCAGATGAAGATGCATTGGTCCAAATCCGAGAAGGAGAATGTACGGCTTACCGAGGCGGGAATCTCGAAAGAAGTAAGCGCTTGTGTGTCTCTGTGTTCTAAAAATATGAGAAATAATGACGGCAAGTTATAAGCAAAGCGGAAGAGGGAAAGAGACAGGAAGAACATTTCAATACTGGGACAGATTTGAATAATGTATCGTTCTGATGAAAAAAAAAATCCTCTCGGGGAAAAAAGTTTTCAACGTTTCTCGAGTATTTATCGAGAGCGCGATACTACTCCTCTAGTACTCTTGAAAAACGCGGAACGGGAAACCGGAAACTTTTCGCCGTAAGTATTGCCGGGATACTTACGTTTTATTTAAATGTCCCAATGTTTAAACGGTCTCTCCCTCTTTTCCCGCCTACCCGCCAAAACTAAGTAAAAGTATAAGATTTATGTACCTAGTTTGAATAATTATATTTTACCATGGCGTGAAATTGTAAACTTGCTCTCTACGGAATCTTAAGCCACGAGTCGTGTTAGTCTAAAAAGCTAACATAAAGCCAACTTATTTCAGAGCCGACTAACTTTTCGAAATTTTCATTCACCTCCGAAACAAACAATATCGATAGCGTATTCTGTATTGTATTTAAAATGTTGTATTTACAAAATATACATTTTAAATTCATAAAACAGAGAAGAATGGCTAGAATGCACAGAACATTTTCCGCTAGTAATAATTCAGGATATCAAGATTTGTTTTTCTTCAGGTGATAGATAGCGCGATAGCAGCATTTTGCTTGGAGATAATCGCGCGACACGCCGAGCCAGCGCCGAGATTGTGCAACAAGGACCCACTTACCTTAAAGATGGGCTCGTATATCCTCGAGCTCTTCCCGAACGCCAAATTTATATTCATGGTACGCGACGGACGCGCCACGGTGCATTCTATCATATCCAGGAAGGTGAGAAAATCCTGTATCACATATTTTATATACGTTACATTTTTCCAGATATGTACATTTATATTAAGTTGTCGCGAAAGTTTTGTCGTTTCTCTGTTTCGAATTCTATTGTTCTGTATTTCTATTTCTGTCGCAAACCTAGTTATTGATTTTACGAATTGCTTTCTGTCAACGCGGTTTTTCCGATCTTCGACATTACGTTTCTAGCGATGTAGATATAGAGCAATGCAATCCATTACGACGATTCCACAAGTAACATCTATTCTCCTTTCGCAGGTCACCATAACTGGGTTCGATTTATCGTCCTACCGGCAGTCTCTCATCAGGTGGAATCACGCAATTTCCGTAATGTATGGCCAGTGCAAGGAGTTGGGGCCGGAAAGATGCTTGATGGTCCCTTATGAACAGCTGGTGCTACATCCACGTCAATGGATGAAGAAGATATTAAATTATTTGGATGTACCATGGAACGAATCCGTCATGCATCACGAAGAATTTATCAACAAACCCGGCGGAGTGCCTCTGAGCAAGTAAGAAAAATGGAGAAAGAAAAAACAAGTGCGAGAGAGAGAGATGCATCTAAACTTAATAATAATATTATTTACAATATATATTCTAGAATTAATGGATACGCATGCATATGTATGTTAAAGTAAAATAACGGCATATACGATGATAGAATTACTAATATTAATTAATGTTAAAATAATTTAATGATGCAAACCACAAAATAACATTTCGCGTTAGTAACATGAAAATAATAATATGATAATGTATCTTCATATAGTATAGTGCTTCGCATTATTAACGCTAAAATTATAACGAGTTAGTCTTTCGTTATTATTAATGTTGAAGTAATATCGTAACGCGATGAAATTGATGTTTCATTAATATTAAAACAACATAACGATATTAAAAGCGACAAAATGAGCGTTTTAATAGTTACATTACGTAACATGAACATCATGTTTAACAGAGTCGAGAGGTCGTCAGATCAAATCATAAAACCTGTGAATTTGGCGGCGCTGACCAAATGGGTCGGTAACATTCCCGAGGACGTGGTGCGAGAGATGGCCGACATTGCGCCGATGCTTTCCGTGCTCGGCTATGATCCTTACGCGAATCCGCCTGTCTACGGCGCACCGGATAGTTTAGTTAGCGACAACACCAGACGGTACGTGATCATTCGTTATACTATACGGTTGTTACACAGTTATTGTTTACAGAATTACTCTCACGAACAGCATTCAAATCATGTACAATAAACCGGAACCAAATCGAAATGGGTCACAATTGATTTCACATACTAATGTAATAATTAGTATATTATTCAGTTATAATTCTAAATTAATTTGAATTTTAAGCGAAGAATTGTAATGATTAAAAAAGTAATTGGGTCAAGTTTCAAATTGTTTAGTTTTCGCCGCGATTATTTATTTAAATACTAAATAATCTTAAAATCAGTTTTTAAATATTATAAGATACTTTTTGTGATAACAACAGGAATTTTTATATATTATAAAACTTTGTAAATATTATATATGTACAATATAATTTTATATAAGAAATTGCTAAATATTAGATTTATTTATTTAATTTATCTCCTTGTAGGGTATTGGCTGGCGAAAACTCTGGGAAGAGAAGGCGCGGGCATACCATCTATCTCACAGGCCAACAGAGACGAGCAACGAGGAACCTGCCTCCAGCACGGCTCCGATCGCGTGACCCCGCGTGATACTTTTAGATGCGCGCGACACGTAACCAACTACTATCCTAAGTCTAAACCGACTTAGGATTTCCGCGCGTGCGGACTTCTCTCCTTGTAGTTTCAAAGTAAACTTGATAGTCGCGTATAACGCGACTTGTCGTCCTCGTCGAGGATTAATCGTCGCCCTCGTCGTGTTTTCTTAATCTCTCTCGTTGTCACGTCGACGACATGCATTGACAACGAATTCTTCGACATCATTCATCGCGATTTATTTATTCGCATTATTAGGCTCGTGTGTTTCGTGAAATCAGGAGATTTGTAATACTAGATCGTGACTAGAAAATACAAAGTGTCTTTTCTGAAATGACTGCCGCAGTACTGCGGAAAATATTTCGAGAATTTATTAATTCAGTGCAGTTGCTAATATATCCATCTTAAGGTCATATCATCTGGATGTAGATAAATCTGTATCCAGATGACATTGCTTTTTTCACCTTAAGATGGATATATTAGCAACTCGTAAATTTATTTCTGGAACATGCATATAATGCCAATATAATCTTTAAACATGGGATATAATAATATATGTTAAATAGTAGAACTATTATTGAATCAATTTGAAGAAAGTTGCAAGAACGAAGCATAATTTGTAAGGTTCATTTTAGATATGATTTATGTTAGATATGTTTTATATTTATATATCTAGACTGGACCTCGCAAATTATTATCTTACCGCATTTTTATACTAATTTTTTTAATTTTTACTAAATAATTGCATACTATAATATATAACTACGAATATATTTATTATAGTAATCAATTACAATTGAAGAGATCTAACAAAAACTTTTCATTTGATTATGAAATTGAATGACAAGTTTCTTTTGGTCACTAGACATCGTCTAGCATTACAAGTATTGTATAGCGCATTACGAGACATCCCGAATTGACGGAATACTATCACTCTGATCTATCATCATAGTCATAGTTGATTATTATGAGCCACAAGATTATCAAGCTTGAAATTTGTCGCGCTTAGCGATTAAACTTTGATTATATATTGTAAAGAATAAGATGCTATAAAAAACACGAAAATGATCTTATGCCAATTTGCGTTGTAGAGATTAATATATGGATCATTTTCGCATGTATGGAAAATCAAACATCGGTTTCAATTTTTTTTTTTTTTTATTAAATAACATCGACCAATAACAGCCAGTGATTTTAAACAGAAGCATTGATAAGATATTTAACGATGAGAGATCAATTTTAAATGTGCAAGGAGTAAGAAGATAGAAACTTGTCCTATTTTGTCCCCCACGAACAAAATTTTATCGAAGGTTAATTAGTTTAGGAGGATAATAACTCAGCGCAATTTTTTATTCAATGTTAAACGCGATATATTGATTGAAATTACGCAAAAATGAGTTAACTTACCACAAATAGTTTTAAGATTTGTAAAATGCGCGGCGTTTCAAGTCGTTACCTTAGCAATTTGTATGTATAGCTTGTTTTTTTTCTTTTTTAATTTTTTTAAAAAATTATAATTTTTGCGTAACATTCGTCCAATGTTATATTAATAATGTATGCATCTACAAAGTCGAGAAATTTGCAATTTGGTTTTTATTCTTGGCGTCTCCATCGTATCATTTAAATGTCACTTTGTGAATTCGCAAAATTGAATCGAATTTTTCACGTTCGCCATATTTTTTAAATAATATAGTTTATTTTTATCAGCCAAACCATATTTGGTCGGTATATCTATTAAAATATAACAAATATATTTCTGATATGTATATATGTTCATATACATATATTATCAGAAATCAATATCTGGTTGGTAACACAAAACTCTATCACATAAAAATCGAAATTTTATTAGTTTTAAAATCATTTTTAATAATTATTAATAATTTTTAATAATTAAGAAAATAACTATTAATTATAAATATTTTAATTTTAACCCCTTTCCTTTTAAAAATTTATATCAATTGTGTTCAATTTTTGTTGAAAATTAAAACTTGCTGGCAAAAATGTGATGCAATTTTATGAACCAACTTGATATTAATATAAATGTAAATAAAATATCTGTGAAGTCTTTCTCGACCGTGATTTGGCTGCGACATATTTTTATTGTTCATGCATTTTTATAACAGTTATAATTTTAGGGAAAAAACAATGCGCTATTAGAATGGAATCTATGGCAGATAAGCAAAGGCATGTCAAAATCTTGACTATTTGTCGATCTGTGCAATTAAATTATTTTAATATTACACAACTCTGTTACATCCAGTCTACATTCCTCGTTTTACTTCCAGCTAATGGATAGAAAGACTGCAGCTTTATCTCGATATCGCGCGTAATTTATATAATTTATCCGAATCGTAAAATTGGCTAAATATATTAGATTCTTTATTATGATTATGAAAATTTTAATTTAAGTTTATAAAGATTGTATTTATTATTCCTTGCACGTGTAAAAAGTGGAAATCTTACAGTATTTCAGTTAGTCATCGATCAACAATTTTGAAATAGATATTTGATGATAATGAAAATATTTGAAACTTGAAAATATTTTAACAATGTACATAAAACTTTCTTAAAACCACGATTACAACACTATTGACATTAGATATAGTAATTTAGGAATATATATAATATCAATATATATTTATATATAATTGTATATATTAACCCATTTTTCTCTATTTGTTTGATTTTAAACTTGACATATTTTGGCCTAAAAATTTATATAAATAATTTTAATTTTGTAGAGTAATAAGTTATTATATACATATTACATTATTTAGATTTCAGGAGTTGCACTTAAATAGATAAAAGATAATTTTAATATATACATTGAATAATGAAAACGTGCAAGAAAGATATATTTTTATCCAATTATATTGTGTTTCCAGATTTCTATTATAAATGGTCTTTTTTCGTGTGAGAATCACGGTAAATTGTACACAAGTTTTACGACGATGTCTTCCGATATTTTGCTTGCACCCACACTCTGTACATTTTCAATTGTTTACCTCTATTAATTTGCAGTCTTCTATCGACAAAGTTTTGTTCTTCGATGAAGGCATTACTGGTAAATAACTTTCTAATTTCCTCTAGAATAAACAATATTTTATGTAATGAATATTTTAATGAATAATTTGCAGAAAAAAAAATATATATATATTTATAAACATCAATAATTCAATAAACAAGAATCACACAAAACATAATTTGAAAATAGTGATGTATAAGAATAAATAAATTTTGATATTAACTCTAATAAATAGTATATCAAAATTTCGAGGATACATTACCATGTAGGAAAAATACACTTTAGTGCCATCTCCACGTACGTAGAAATTCTTGTCGAGGTAATTACTTTTCTTAAATCTCAGTTGTGCTAAATCATATCTGCCATAATCACGAAACAAAACTATTCCACCTGGCTTTAGATATTTGTGTATTTGCTGTACAACATGTTGCATTCTGTAAAACACAATACAAGTAAAATATGTATCTTTTTTTTTTAATAACAATATAGGGTGCTTTCCAGCAACGACACAGAGTATTATTCTATCTTTGTTTGCTAATATTGAAAGAAGATATAATGATACGCTATGTTTGCTCTATGTTGTTGCTGGAAAGCACCCATAAAATGTGCAAAGTACAACTATATAGGGATAACAAAATATTATATATACTTATATAATAAAAATGTAAGAAGAAAATATTAAATATATATAAAAAAAGCAAAATAAAAAATATATATAACAAAAATTAAGAATTTAAAAGATATAATATGTAACAATTATAAACATGTATAAAATTAACATAATACAAGAATATTAATATGAGTTAATAATATATGATAAAACAACATACTTCTCAGGATGTATGGCAGATAAAACAAATATAAGAATAATAATATCTAGACTTTCAGACTCAAAAGGAGTTGCCCACGTTTCTTGAGTTACATCCAGGACAAATGCTTTACACCTAAAATAATGGACAAATGTAAATTGTGCAAACAATATACACAATTATATGAATATACAATAGCATTTGTGTGAGTGGATAAATGAAAACAAATTTACACAAACTTTGAAGACACTTTACCTATTTACATCATAAGCAGAGTTTGTTGTAATATATCAATTGCTTTGGTGGAAAAATCGCAACAATACACAAATAACTTTGGATCTGTATTGTACATGAGTATGGGAAATACAGTGTTCCTACACCACAGCCTATTTCGAACATTTTACAACTATCTTTACATGGCAAATTGAGGATTTTGATATGCTTATCTCCGTAACTTTTATCTTCATCTGTAAGTGCAGCCCTCATAGGTCTTTCTGTGTTTTGTTTCACAGCATTGGGTGCTAATTCAGGAAATTCAATCAGTAACCAATGTCTATCTTTAAAAATCTAAAATAAATGTATTAATTAGAAATTTATTCTTAAAATAACAGGTATAACAATTCAATTCAATGAATATATTATCTAATAATTCAATTAATTTAATAAAGAAAAAATACATTTTCCTAGAATTTACATTTAGACAAAAATATACCTATTGTTGTGTATCCCATAAAATTTGTCCCAATATTTGTCCGCTTCAGTTTCATATTTCAGGAATTCTTCATGCGATAACGTAACAACAGAATGTTCATCCACTTTCTGTTGTGCCAACTTTTCCTGTTCTTCATCCCACGTGACATTATCCCTTGAAAGTTTCTTTTATTTAATAATAAATTTAAAAAATAAAATGATAAAAAAGTACAATGAAAGATATACGACTAAAAAGTATCGATTATCACACGTTAGAATTTTAACTGTTTTTTATATTTACAGTAGCTTTATATTATTACTAGAGTGAATAATTATGCATTTTAATTTTTAGGTTAGAACATGCTTGTGTCATCTTTGAAATTCAAGACCAATTTAAGGAATATCGAACAGATAAAAAAAAAAAATATATATATATTATTTTGTAAATAATAAAAAAGACAAAGTCTGTGAATATAATTAATATAAATTGATTCTTTCTTCATTTGATAAATTTGTAAGGTTAGGACCGGATGCGTGACGTTGACAAAACGTCAAACCGGAGCGACGTCACGTGCACACGCTCGTACCCACAAACCCACGGAAGAAGCCGTTAGACATACCACGCATTGTGCTGGAAGACGTCTCCGTCGAGGGGTAAGTTTCGCGTTCCGATTGTGGCCTCTCCTGTCACGATCCTCGTCGTTGTTCAACAACGTCGTCCCCTCGGCCATGTTTCGAATGCCGGCGACTGAAATGGCGCGAATTGTCCACAATCGCGATTTTGGCACACCGGAGAAAGAAGGGATAATGTTCGATCGACGCAAATAAAAATAAGATGTATACAGTTTTCTTCTTCAAATTCATTTATCGAAATAATTATACATTATATAATATTGTTCCAATTTTTATTCTCTTCTCGCGGAAAAACGCCTGTTTAATTTAACCTAAGCATATAAAATATGCATATAAAATAATACAATAATAATGAAGGAAAGGATGATATATATACAAGAAATAATTGCAAAATGAAAGATGAGTAGACAGAATCAAAATTATTATATATTTTTTTATTTTAGAAATACATATTTTCGCAAATGTCTACACTATAGACATCTGTGGGTATTTTCCATAATTAAGTTTCCATAAACGTTACTAGATTTATATCGATAATCGATATACATTCCCTAGATTTATATCGATATATCGAATTGTTTCAATTGCTGGGTTCTCGCAGGTTGCACGAGCCACGATTTTCGGCCATTTTTGTAAAGCATAGCACAGATTAATAGACAGATCGCCAAAGGCCTGCCTAAAGAAGAGACCGCCACCTTCGTGCGATAGACTTTGCCCCTTACCGACACACTTTGCCCCTGGTTCGAGTCCGTGCTAAATTTCGTCACAAGACTTTGCCCCTGGTGCGAGTCCGTGCTAAATTTCGTCACAAGACTTTGCCCCTGGTGCGAGTCCAGGCTAAATTCGTTCGACATTACCAACAGACTTGCCCCTGGTGCGAATCCAGACTAATTGATCATGAGACCAATTTGAGAGATTTGGCTCCCGTTGTGTGTGTGTGTGTGTGTGTGTGTGTGTGTGTGTGTGAGAGAGAGAGAGAGAGAGAGAGAGAGAGAGAGAGAGAATTTAACATATGCATATATATATAAAATTTATTAAATGTTAAAAATATATTTTTACACATAAATTTTTTTTATTGAAATAATTACGATTTTAAATGTGTGATATAACACAGTGTTAAAAAATTTTTAATTAAATTTTATTAAAGAAAATTACTTGAAATTTTTTACATTAAGAATTTAAAGGCTCCTTATTCTCTTGTAGAAATTTCTACTACGCCAATTAATCACTTATTTCGAGTATTTAAAATACTATAATATACAGTAATTTAAGTATTCGAAATAAAAGTGATTAATTCGAAATACTCGAAATAAGTGATAAATTGGCGTTACTAGTGATAAATTTCTATAAGGGTTAAAATAAAGTATAAGAGATAAATGGGCTATATGTGAGCCGTATGCGAAATGTGAGATGTAAGACGCATATTGAAATTTAATTTTTCGATATAATTTCAAAAATGTATACGAGGTACAAAAATTAGCTTAGACATTTGTAAGACTTAAAATGGGATTAATTCTCAATTCTATTAATTAAATTTCGATATAACACACCTTACATCCGCGCACGGCTCACATATAGCCCATTTATTTCTTAATGCATTTTTAAGTTCCTTATTTTTCACAAAGTTCACTTTTTTACGTTATCAAATATTTTTGGTACATGTTTTCAAGAATTTTATATTTTTACTTACCGCAGTTTCTTATCCAAATGTAAAATCTTTTTATCGCAGTCTATAAAAAATTGAAACAATTTACAATTTTATGATATGATATTATTATATTACAATTTCTATATATATGCACATCTGTCAAATATCGTGATTTATTTCACATTATTATCTATTTTAATAAAAAAAAAAAACACTTGCAACAATCAAAAATAAACCGCCTGCCGCGAACGGAAAATGCCAAGAAAGCACGCAATTTCCGCGAATCTCGTAATTTTTTTGAAGAATCAACAATTTCAACGAAATTGTAAATTCTTCAAATCACTGCACAAGTATAATTCACAATAATAATTTTCAGTAACGATAAAAAATCGTATACTGAAAACCGCAAACAAAAGTGCAATGGGATAAGAGTAAAGTCTGTGATAAAATTAATTGGCAATAGAAAATTAATAATTTTCAAATAGAAAAATTTTGAAATTACCGAGGATTTACAAATAATAAAGTAAAAATATGAAATAATTTGTTTTTAAATAATTTATGTTTTCCAATTTTGCTCGCGGAGAGGATCTTTAAAACAAGATTTTTAGAAGAGAAGACCTTTAAAATATAAAGAGGCGAAAACGTTGGAAAAATTAAAGCGCGCGTTTAAACAGATAAACGCAATGAAATAGATACGCAATTGTTTTTATTCATCGCTGTAAGCTCACAAGCTTCTGACGTTCTCGAATGACCACGTCGCGACCGTGTCACAGAACGAATTCCCATTGTGCTTTCGTTTGTGATTTTCAATTCTTACGATTTTTTCGTTATTATTGAAAAATATTGTGACGTGTGTGTGTGTAGTGATCCGATTTTACGAATCTACAGTTTTAACGAAATTGTAGTTTCGATAAAATCACGAGATTCGTATAGAAATTCGCGGAGATAGTGTGCTTTGTCGGTTCGCGGCCGGCGATTTGTTTCGATTTTTGCAGGTATTTTTCGTGGATCAAAATGGATAACAATAATGTGAAGAAAATGACGATATTCGACAGATGTGTATACAAAGACTGTAATAATATTAAATCAGATAACTGTAAATTGTTTCGTTTTCCACGGAAGACTGATGAAAGATTTGACATTTGGATAAGAAACTGTGGTAAGTAAAAATACAAATTTTTCTCTTCTTTTTTATGTTTTATTGGCTTTGCTGACCTGAAATTAGAAGTCTTATCTTGTCGATTATTGATCTTCAATTAATAAAATTCTTGAAAATATATAAAATATTTGACGACAACGAAAAAAAATTAATTTTGTGAAATATAAAAAAACGAGTGTCTTAAAAATTTCAAGTAACTTTATTTAATGAAATTTCATTACAATTTTTTAAGTATATTATCAAGGAGAGGTCGTGGTTGACTCTTCACCGATCTCTTTTTGATAAATTTGTATTAAAATTAAGTTGATCTGTGTTCGAAATTTTCTCTCTCTCGTCTAATGCGCCTTGTAAATTTTTTTATTCTTGTAATTTAGAGAAATTTTTATGTTTGTTATAAGACTTAAAGAAAGATGCATGTTTGATCAGTGCTACTAGCACAGCGGGATAGCACAAAAATAATAATTAGAGATCCCCTAGATTCAAAATTTGAGCTGTCATAATTATTTTTGTTTTTTAAGTTTAAAAAATTTTTATTATTTGTATATCATGTTATATGCATTATTTGTTACGTAGAAATAAATATTCAACATATATTTATTGTTAAATATATACGCATATCTCCTCATATATTTAAAAATACATACAATAATCGTAACATAAATAAAATATTTTTAGAAAAAAAATTTTTGATGTTTCATATTTGTATCAACCGGTGCAATGTAATTAAAAAATAAACAAAACATTTTTAGTCTTACTTCTTATTTATTTTATTTTTTAATTATTTATTATATTTAAAAAAGTAAAAATATTTTTCAAAATATTTCTCTGCAAAAATATGATCTTTATATTACAATTATTTTATGTATTTTAAATATTTGAGGAAATATATGCGTATCTAACAATAAATATATACCGAATATTTATTCTACGTAACAAATACATATTACATGACATATAAAATAATTAAATTTTTTTTAATTAAAAAAAAATCATGACCGCTCAGTCTTGAACCTAGGATCCCTAAATTACTATTCTTGTGCTCTGCCGCGCTGCGCTAACGGCACTGATTGAACATGTGTCTTTCTTTA